GTTTTAACTGCACCTTGCATGCGCACGCACACATGCACACACACCAAAACACTTGCCCCATACACTTCTTAAATTCCTTTTTAGTGCGCACAAAGACCGTTAATTTGAATTTGCAGGAAAGCCCAATTAAAAAGGTGAACTAATTTTATTTATCTGACAGAAAATTGCAGTAATAAAAGTAGACAAATGAGATGAACAAACGATAGAGAGAGAGAGAGAGAGAGGGAGAGAGAGAGGGAAAGGAAGGAAAAAAAGGAGAAAATTTGAAAATAAAATAAAATGGCTGCCAACTTTTTAAGGATTTTATTTTTTTTTTTGAAAGTCCAACAACTTTTTGATGTCATTTCACAGCAGAAGTCTCTTCGCTCTTTCCGCTTATCCGACCCGGCGCTACTGGGCAAACTTTCAATGAAGCGTAAATGAACTGTGCACCAACATTTGGCCTCGATTTCACTGCAGTCACGCGTCCTTTATTGTCTGCTAGCCTCCTTTTGGCCATTTACCAACTCTCAAGCGGCGGTTTGGCGCTTGTCCCAAGACAGGTGGAAAAAGATTTTCTAAAATTTATTTGTTCTGTCACTTTTGCCAGCCTACTAAGTCTTTCAATCGAAAGTAAGTCTTGTAAGTGATAGAGCAGTTCATAGGTAAGCGCATGCAAAGTGCGGCACAAAAGTTCAAGTAATGGGCAGCGCACAAGCCACCTGCGCCGGCGGCAACAACAAGCCTGCCATGGAAGGCGAATGTGACAATGTTGAGTCGGCAAAAGTTTTTACGACAATATTCGTTAGTGTCTGGCAAAGCAAGAAGTGCAAAAGAGGCGTTATTTTTGCAAAACTTCAAATTCATTGCCTTTCACAAGTGTGCTGTTTGTGTGTCTGTGTGCGGGTATGTCCTGTGACAATGAAAGAGCCTGCAAAATGAAACTTTGTTTTTACTTCATCTGCCACGTTGTAATTCTACTGGCTGCAGTGCAATGTACTTTCAAACCTAACCGCTGTGAAGGTATACGACTTGGCATCGAAGCTTTCATCGTTCGTCTTGCACTCGATTTAAACTTTCCCCTGTAACAGCAGCGCGCTTTCACTACCGAAACTGTGCCGAGGTTTATAGGCAATGAATGCTGATGTCTTCTAATGTCATTTAAAATTTGTGTGCAACTCTGCGTTTACTGAATTGCCGCAAACCACTGTCGAGCGGTGTCGTATTAAGAGGACGTGTGTGTGTGTGTGTGTGTTGGTCAAGTATGGAGTAGGCTGCAATCCCAAGTCATGGGCAGTATAAAAGTTTCACTCAATTTGGTAGGCATTTGAGGTGTACGCTACTTTGGACTTTACTGCATTGCAATATTTCTTTACCAAGTTTGCACAACAAACAAAATCTTCTGATTTTATTTTGCCTCCCGATCTTGTCAGAAGCTAGTAGTTTTTTTTTTTTTTTGAGGAAATACTGCCAGAGCGGAAAGCTTCCGAGTAGATAACTAACCATAAGTACCGAAGTCATTAGCCGCAGCAGATTTAGGATAGCAGCATAGGATTTTCAAATGATCTTTGTTATGCTATTATCTGGACTAACCGAAACTAAGTGGCGTTTTTCTGTGGCAACCGGATACCAGTAGTAGAAGTGATGCCATCACATACGCTGACCACAGTATACAAATCGATTTATCGTAGTACATGATTGACATATGTACATAAGTATACGAAGTGTCAAATTCCGGTACTTATTGTTGCCATGTGTTATTATCCCGAAAGTTTCGAACTCTTTTCTTATATGGTAGTTGTTTCAGTGTTTTCAACTTATGCTTGGAGATAATGATACTTGACATTATTATTTATGGATTTGGTAATATAGAATCGACCGAGATCAATTATATTGCGATTTTCTGAGTTGCTTCAATATAAAAGTACATCGTCGTTTAAAGTACAAAACCGCGTAACGTCTTTTTTATTTATCAATCGATTTTCTAAATTAGTAGCTTCATTGATAGGTGTAGGTGTTCTTATTCCCTCCCCCGCCGTTGCCTATTTCATGGTATGCGCTATCAAAGAAGATTTTGATCGGCTGAGCATTAATGTGACAAAACGAAGTGTCGACAACAGTCGGAGAGTAAAGCAATCCGTTCAATACAGGCTGATTTGGGCATTAAAAGACGATCACTTACCTATGCCGACCACCTCAGCAGGTAAATTTGCGATCCATTTAACACTTACTTTAACAGTAGTGCTGGCCAAAACAGATACAAATATATATGCACTGATCTCTAAGGGTTCAGATGTCAAAAAATTACCATGAGAAGTACTGCCACTGATATATTAAATTTGAAGCCAACACGATAGCTCAATATATGTACAGACATATATATTGCACATCAAAAACTCGTAATTTCTTAGTACATTCAACTTCTTATAGCCTTTTAACGCAGCACATTACCGGTGATTGCAACTAATTTTGGCAATTCTGCACGAATTTTACGCAACAATCCAGCTCGAAGTTTCCATCTTCATTCACCTTTATGCAACGCTGCACTCCTCCACCATTGTTCACTTGGCAAAAATCACACCTGTCCTTTATGTGCTGATTGCGCATTCAAGCAAATTGGGCATGTGCGAACATTTTTGTGCGAGAGTGTGTTAGTGTGCGCGGTTTACAAGCAGATTTTCGACAGTTAAAACCATAGAGAGCAAGCAGCAGCGTGCCAACTTAGTGAAATTGAGTTGAGTTGAGTTGAGTTCGGGATGAGCATACGCAAATTTGACTAACTTAGCAAATTTTTGATACTTATACTTTTCGTGAAAAAAATAAAATAAAATAAAAAATAAAACTTCTACAACACTTTGCTTTCGGGGCAGTTTTGGGGTATTACATAGAAGCCAGCTTGTACGTACGTACGTATGTATGTATGCATGGATAAATGTGCAAGTGTTAGTAACTAGTATGTATAGAAATCAAACTTACAACTTAAATGCTCAGCTCAGCGTTCCTGCTACTTTGTATACTCATCGCTGGATGTTGGAGTTTAATATTCTTTCTAAGTAAGTAAGTAAGTAAGTAAGTAAGTAAGTATGCGTGCATAGTCATCGAGCCAACATAATCTTGTTAGACGGCAAAGTTTATTGCATGGAAATTTGTCCAACGGCAGAAAACAAAAAGAAAACTTATGCCAAGAAAGAAAGTACAAAAATAGAGGAGCTAAAAAGTAGCAGCAGAAACGAGCTTAAAGCAGTAGTGATGCAGCGAAAGTAGTGTAAAGTGGAAATCGCCTCAAACTTGGCTCGCTGGTTGGTTGGTTGGCAGTCATTGCAGGCAGGCAGTCAGGCAGGCAGTCAGGCAGTCAGACAGCCACAATGCTTGCGTAATTTATGCAAGCGACGAGCGGCGGCTTACATGGCTTATACTTGATATAATAGAAAATATAAATTTCTGATAGAATTTGCATAATTTCCACATGGCCAGTGAGTGAGTGAGGCGCCAGCACGCAGTGAGGTGAAATCATGGAAAGAACTGCACATTTATAGCGTCCATATAGAAAGGATAGAAACTCGCATGCCAAAACAAGGACATTGTGTGTGTGTATGTGCGAAGTTCCCCACCACCACCAAACCTCATTTTCGTCAACAATTGCAGTGTGGGTCCAGTATAATCTAAATGCTTTTGAAGGATAATAAAAGCATTAACTTCTAGGTAATTTTAAACGAATTTTTGCCATCATTCAGCCGCTTGATTGGATGTGTGTGGCCTGAATTTGTGCTGCTAATTGCCATGGTTTAAGCGTTGAGTTATGGCACGAATACCTACATTTTTAGATGAAAGTTTAAAACTACATAAATGGAATGCCTGCTTTTATTTTTGATTTTCTCACTGACATACAAGAGATAACGCTAGTACATATGTAAGTATGTACATATGTAGGTGATGGATTAAGCCAAAATAATTTTATAGTTGACAATTGGTAAAAGTATACGCTTTGGGGATTTGTTTAACAGCTAGAAATTCTTTATAAATTGTCTCAGGATTTAAAAATTTTGAATAATAAATTTTCTTAAAAAAATTTACTTTAAATTTACGGCTTGCGCTTAAAAATATACGGTTAGCTATGGATTCTTGATGAATGGATGATGGATTCTTGTTATGATGGTAGGCTTTGAAGGGCTCAATTTAAACTATTCTAATAACTTCGAAACTAATATGGTGATAATATGATTGAAGATATTATGTTCAGCTCGTCAAGCGTGCTCCTATTACGTTTTTAGCGAAAATAACATGATTGATAATATGATTGAAACTACAAGTGTAAGATTTAAAGCTTTGCAGCGCCCCTTAGCTAGAGAACGCCTTTAAAATGAAACTCGAGCCACACTTTCTGACGTGATTGACGGTATGCTTGAATTTAAAGCTTGATGACTAGCACGAATAACAACTATAGATAAATTACACAAACTGAAGAAATACACTTCGAGTAATTTTCTTAAATATAAGGCATGCTTGATTGATGGTATGTTTCAACATCATTCCCAGTTTGTAATACAGGCCTTTTTCTATCTATCTACTTATCACAAATCCTAGCTTCACATACAAAGGAGAACATATTGAATGGCTGTAGAAACTGCTGGCATTCTTGATAGTACTTTAAGCTTGATGTCGTGCTTGAAGGAGTATAATACACACTAATGTGCCAAAATTCTAACTTTTAATTCGATAATGTAATTAGTTTTGACTATTGATGAATGCTTGACTTTGCTCAAAGCACCATGACATGCTTGAATAAGTCACTGATGTTTATCATATTTAAATACTTTTGAGAAATTGAATTAATAACGAATTGAAACTTAGTCCGATGGCTGGACCAGCCTGCTCAGTGGACGTGTTCCTAAGACATTTTATTTTAATTGATTATTATTTATTATTATTATTTTATTATTTATTATTGATTATGGCCAACCACATATCTTCCAGATAGTCTTAAAATTACAAAATAATATTTAAAAAAATTGCTCACTTACCTTGCCCAAATTGACGAAACCATGATCTCGCGCCACTTGATCGGCCACACCACTTTCTTCGCCGTTGGGTATATGCACCGCCCATGTGTGCGTATAATTTCCAGCACTCCCACTTTCGCCCTCTTCGTCGTAGTCCAATTCAAAGGGCCACCCCGCCGCCAGCGTCAAATCATCGCCACCACCAACACCGTCAATCGCATTCCCTGCAGCTGTTTGGTTCCCATGCGAGGTGGCTGCGGCGGCGGTGGCAATGGCAGCGCTGGCGCTCGGCAAAGTCACGAAACCGACATTCAACGTACACAACAAAAACACTAACACAACACTCAATTGCACACAATTCAACAAAATCCTATTTAAATGCAAAGCAACAGATGTCCGCGACGCTCCTGCTGCTAGCTGCTGGCGGCGAGGCAGACGGCGATGATAATAATGGTGATTATGTTGTTGCTTTTGTGGTCGTAATTGCTGTTGGTTTTCTTGTTGTTGTTGTTGTTGTTGTTGGAAATGTCTACTATATGCACTAGACGCTGATGTTTTTTTCGATTTATGTTTGATCGCATTTTGTTGTTGGCTTACGCTATGACGAGTGTTCACTAAATAACTACTGGTTGTTGGCGTTGTTGTTGTTGTTGTTGTTGCATTAAGAAAACTTGCATTAGTATCACAATGTTGTTGCTTTTGCAGTTGATGAAGTTGGAGCTGCCTAGCCGGTTGCCTAAACGCCCACCCACTTGTAGTCGCCGCATTTGCCGACCATCGAGAGCTGTTATTCGCAGCAAAATTTCGTGTTGGATAATCGCTGTAGTTGTTTTGGTTTTTGCTTTTGCTAGTCGCGCTCTCGCTACCGATTTGTGCTTTCGCTGCTGAATTCCATCGTACGACGTCGTTTTTCATTGTGCGTGCGTGGGGGGGAGCTACTGTGTTCGGGATTTTCTAAGGAAGTGGATTTAGGGGATGTGCGGGTAGTCGCTGCTGTAGCTCTCTCTCTCTCTCTCTCTTTCTTGGTATAAGAACGCCGTCGTTAGTGAGAAAATAGAATGATCTGTGCACAGAGTGGTATTGGCATCGATTGACCCAGCAGGGGTGGAGATCACAGAAGGAAAAATGAAATTGTTGATTTTATGCTGCTGAAAATAGAAAAATAAAGGATGTCGTTGAAAATGTTTGTATGTATACACAACAATATGTATGTATACAAGTACTTATACATACATATGTATAAAGAAATGGAATGGACAGTTAAAAATTTTTATTCAAAATCAAAAAAAATATATATTCGCAATAAAAAGTTAGAATATTCACGAAGATTTAGAGAACTCGGTGAAAATCGTTTATTAATTTCCTCAAGCATTTAAAACTTAAAAAATGTGTTTGCTGATCATAAACAAAATTTTTAATCAACGCCAAAAATTCACATAAAACTCTTTACCTATACGAACAAAAAAATATAAATTTTGTGATTTTAAACTTAAAAAAATTGTTTAAAAGCCTAAAAAACTAGGTAAAGGGTTTCTGTTTTTTCCATTTTCGTACAAATTTTGAAAAAAATATTTTATAATTTCGTACCTATAAAAAATTTGCAAACAATTTTCCGATTTTCAAGTAAATAAAATATAAAAAATTTTTTAACAAATCTCAATATTTTAAAATTTTATATATTTTTTTTCGGGTAATGCCCGGGTACCCAGGTACCCGATTACCCGGGTGTTACCCGGGGCTTTTATTACCCGGGTAGCCGGGTATTACCCGATTTGCCCGGGTACCCGGGTAATATACATATGTAGGTGCCGGTTAACGAAAAACACCCGGGTAATGCGACATAAAGCTTCTTGTATAATCTTTTTGGTGAGGATAAATATTTTTTCTGTGAGAAAATTTTTTTTTTATAATTATTTCTTTATGTCTAGAATGTACGCGACTATGTACACCTAACCGCTTGCCTGAGTAGACGGAGACAAGAAAAGTAAATTAAAACATTAGTTTCTGTACTTAAATTCAAACTTCTAATTTTTGTAAATGCATATACATACATGCATGTGTACATATGTGTGTATGTATGTATATTTTATAGAATATTAAATATTAATCATTTAAAACAGGGACCGAGAACAAAATGTATGATCGAAACTAAATGTCATTGTGGTAGTTTTGTTCCCAAGAACGCGTCAAAACCAAAACCAAAATGAGAACAAAACTGACGAGAACGTTCTCATTGGAAACTATATAAGAACTAAATCCTGTGGAACGTTCCCAGAGAGAACAAAATGCGAACAATACTTTCGGGAACATTTCTAAGAGAACAAAATGCTAACAAATTTCTCCTGAACGTTTTGGCAAAGAAAAAAACGGGGAACCGAAATTCTGAGGAACTTACTCTCGAAGAACAATTTGGGAGCGAAAGTCCCAGAAACTTTGTTACAGAGAACGAAAAAGGAACAAATATTCTCCGAACTATCTCATAGCGTTCCATTACTTTGAAATGTTTGAATATTAATGTTAATAAAAAAAGAACTGAAAGATAATTATGTATGCAAATAAAGTTAACGAAAGACTTAAGACACGAACTTTTATTTTTTTTTTTTTTCCCTGGAAGTTGAAATGGTCCAGGTTTCCTCTGGCTTAGAATTCACATCCGTGGATCTCACTCCGAACACGAAAGACTCTTCTCTACGGCAGGAATTATTGTAACGGCGAAAAGATCGTGTTTGGCCCCCGATTCGGTTAACTTGCTAGTCTTTTTGCATCAAAATAAAAACTTGTTGTAATGATAATGTAATTATTTTATATACATAATTATTAAAACTTGTTATGATAGTAACAACAAAAAAGATCTTGTTATCACTGAGTCAATCTGATGATTTCTTCCCTGACAAATGAAATTTTGCGGTCTTGGGGAGTGGCATAGTTGGTGAAATACCAAGGAGCATTAACAATACTTCTTTGGGCCTTCTTTTGATACCGCTGTAGTATTTCTGTTTGAGTTACTTGCAGTACACCATAGTTACATAGCGTATGTCCAAACCGGCTTCAGCATAACTTTGTGCAGAAGGATTTTGTTTTCTAAACTCAGCTCAGATTTTGCAGCAAGCAGCCAGTACATTCTTAATGTTTTAATGCAAGTTGACTTTTTTTCGCTTTAATATGCAATTTCCACGAAAACCTGAGATCAAGATGGATTCCCAAATAATTGACTTGATTGATAAATAAGGTTGCAAACGGTCAAATGAAAATGCGTCATGATACAAATAGTTATGCCTATGATTTCATTAATAGTACATACATACATGGCGTATGAGTAACATTCTTACCTAGTCATATTTTATAAAAAACGAAATTATCTGTTATTATTATTATTTTTTTATCTCCCTACAGTTTAATACTTCTACAATCGTAAAATTATTGCTACTACCTTTAGATACGAATATATGTATATTATAATATTTCCCCATATGGTATGGAAGATTCTTATAGATGTTCCCTATGTACGTTCGTTTGCGGTATATAATCGTAAATGCGTTTAATTTTTACCTCTCCACATTTTTTCGGGTGCCCGGGTACCCGGATAATTACCATACTGACCGTGTACCCGGTCTACCCGGGTAGTAAAATAGCCGGGTACCCGGGCTACCCGGGTAATTCAATACCCGGGTAGGGCTTCACCCTCTACCCGGGTGAAATCATCAGCCCTAGTTTGTATATAGAATTTCACAAAAAATTAAAATTAAGTTAGCAATTTTTGACGCTCGCCCAATTTGGAGACAGTAAATATAATTCAATTTTAGATCATGAAATTAAAAGGACGTAAAGTTTTCTATCATAGTGAAATATGGTTTCTACATAAACTAAAATCACGCCTTTTATTTTTTGAGCAATAAATACCTAACTATATTTTTTCAGGCAAAAATTACTTTTATATGTATGTAAATGTATACCTTTTGGAAGAAAACATCTAATTATTTTTGCTGTTATTTTCTAGATATTGACGACAAGATAAAATGCTGGCAGATTTTTGAAGTTTTTCCAAGATTTCTCGCAGGTTCTTTTGAGGATTGTGCGTGGATCTTCGTGTTCTGGTATTCGGGAATTTTTTGATCTTCTAACTTTTCTGAACTTTTACGGAGTTGTTTCGGGTGCACCAGGATTCTTATCGTTTCGTTTTACGCGCTGGTGTGAACTTTTTGGATTTTTTGGCAATTTCGGAATTTTTTGAAGCGTTCAGGAATTTCCGGGATTGTACTATTCGGAATTTTTTGAGAGTTTTTTTTTTAAATTTTCCGTAAACTTGTTTTGGGGAATTTCGGACTCTTCGAAACTGTTATGGAATTTTCAAGAATATTCCTGATGGTTTTTGATTTTTCGGACCGTTCAGTATTTTGTTTGAGATTGTCAGGGTGTAGTCGCGTTTTACTATTTTTCTGGAACTTTTAGGATCTTTCGAAAAATTTCCAAGACTTTTTAAAACTCCTGGGTTTTTGGGGTTTTAGGGAGAGCTTTTCGAAATATAAAATATAGAAATTTGGAAAATATTATGTCCAAATCTGATAAGACTAAAAACTCTCGCAATTTTGAAAACCTATGAGACATATGATCACATTTCTATTATATCATCCACCACTTGCTTAGAGCTTTAAATAATTTTTGCCTTAGGATTTAACTTCAACATCAGATTAAACTTAAAATTCTTAATAGGAAATGAAATTTCCGTTTGGCTCGATATTGTTGACTAACCAAATTGCAAATATTTACTGTTTATCTAAAACTGTCAAAAGCAGACATTTATTTTATTTATCCTACTGAAATATGCCAGCTACTTAGAGATAATACTCTGCGGGCTATCCATATCAAACATTGCCAAAATGTACATTTGCACGTACATATAAACATATGTATTTTAGTACATAACATAACGCACTTAACATAGCGCAAATGTTGTGGGAATGCGTTGCGTTGAGCGATTACTGGATTTGTTTTCATGTGCCCGCAACTACTAATATGTATAAGCGATATGCCTGCAGCGAGGAATTTTATTAAGTACCAGTCGAATAGCCAACGGCCGAAGCAAGGAGCAGAGGTTATAAATCACGAGACGAGCAGAGAGATTACAGAGAAAATGCTCCCCTACAATTACTTACATATGTGCATATGTATGTTTTTGTGAATGCATGTATGTGTGTATGTGTGCGCTTGCAAAACCCCGGCTAAGAGTGGATTGGAGTGTAGGTGTAATTCAGCTCCGTTTATCATTTGTCTGCTATGACAGTTGTTAGTTTACATATTTTGACACTTGTCAGCTGGGGAGCTAGTATATTCCTACAAACATAGCCATGTAGACGTCAGTGTCAGTGTCAGCGTCAGCGTCAACATGTCTGCTGTCTACGTCATTTCGTATGATGTCCTTTGAAGTCATCAAGCATATTGAAAGCTTTCGTCGTCGTCATCGTCATAGTCAACGCTTTATTGGCTTATTTGCTTAGGCTCACAATTTATTATAAATACCGATAAATGGCTATAAATGTATGTGTCTCTTTATGTACATACATATGCGTTTGCATGAATGCAAACAATTTAAGCTTACGGCAGTAAGAGCCATCGAACCGCCACTTATCTCTCTACAGCTTCATACTCTGCCTTATAGACCTGAATAGACCTGATTCATATCTAGTTTAAGCTACTAGCTGTTCTTCGATTAGATGTATTCATGTGTGTTTATTTATTTACATACCGCATTGCCTATTTTGGCGCCTCTACTTCATGTACATAAGTTAGGCCTTGTCTGTAAACGTCAGCTTATCCGCTATTTGTCCTTTTTATATGCCTTTACTGGCCCATCAATCTACATACAATTAAAGTGGTGTAGGCACGTATGCATATACATACATACATATATACTTCATGAAAACACTACAAATCCGCTTGCTTAATTGCTTTGTATCTACGCCTATGTATTCTAGTATGGCTGTGCCAATGGCAATAAATTTCAATAAAATGCGCATTAATGCTTGAATTTCTTTCTGTGCAGCGCAGTTGTATTTGAGGTATTTCATTGGTATTTATTTGTATACGACAGAGTTATGTTTTGTTCATACATACATACGTATTCGCTGTGATGCTGTGTGTTTTTGC